TCGTTGCAGCCACTGTTCAGTCCATCTCATGGAGGGCCTTCCCCTTCTTGCTGACCCTCCACTTTACCAAACATGATATCCTTCTCCAGGGAATGGTCCCTTCGGATAGCATGACCAAAGTAGGTGAGACGAAATTTAGCCATTGTTGCTTCCAGGGAGCATTCTGGCTGCACTTCTTTCAGGACAGATTTGTTCATTCTTTTGGCAGTCCATGGTACTTGTAGTATTTTTCAAGCACCACAACTCAAAAGCATTAACTCTTCTTCGGTCTTCCTTATTTGTTGTCCAGCTTTCACATGCATATGAGGTGATTGAAAATACCCATGGCTTGGGTTAGGCGCACCTTCATCTTCAAAGAGACATCTTTGCTCTTCAGCACTTCAAAGAGGTCTTTTGCAGCAGATTTCCCCAGTGCAGTATGTCCTTTGATGTCTTGATTGCTGCTTCCATTGATGTTGATTGTGGAACCAAGAAATAGAAAATATTTGACAACTTCAATCTTTTCTCCATTTATTGTGATGCTGCTACTTGGTCCAGTTGTGAGGACTTTTGTTTTCTTTATGTTGAGATGTAATCCATACTGCAGACTCAAGTCTTTAATCTTTACCAGTAAGTGCTTCAAGTCATCCTCACTTTCAGCAAGTAAAGTTGTGTCATATGCATATTACAGGTTGTTAATGAGTCTTCTTCCAATCTTGATGCTGTGTTCTTCATATAGTCTGCTTCTCGAATTATTTGTTCAGCATACAGATTGAGTAAGTATGGTAAAAGGATACAACCCTGATGAACTCCTTTCGTGATTTTAAACCATGCAGTATCCTCTTGTTCTAATGGAATGACAGGCTCTTGGTCTATGTACAGGTTCCTGATAAGCACAATCAAGTGTTCTGGAATTCCCATTCTTCTCAATGTTACCCGTAATTTGTTATGATCCACACAATCAAATGCTTTTGCATAGTCAATAAAACACAAGTAAACATCTTTCTGGTATTCTTTACTTTGAGCCAAGATCCATATGCCATCAGCAATGATATCCCTCATTCCACGTCCTCTTCTGAATCCAGCTTGCAGTTCTGGAAGTTCTCTGTCGATATAGTGCTGCAACCGTTTTTGAATTATCTTCAGCAATATTATACTTATGTGTGATATTAATGATACTGTTTGATAGTTTCCACATTCTGTGGGATCACCTTTCTTTGGAATGGATCTTTCCTGATTAGTTGGCCTGGTAGCTGTCTTCCAAATCTCTTGGCGTAGACAAGTGAATGCCTCCAGCACAGCATCCGTTTGTTGAAACATCTCATTGGGTATTCTGTCAATTCCTGGAGCCTTGTTGGCTGCCAATTCCTTCAGTGCAACTTCGACTTCTTCCTTCAGTACCATTGGTTCTTGATCATATGCCTCCTCCTGAAATGGACAAACATTGACCAGTTCTTTTTGGTACAGTGACTCTGTGTATTCCTTCCATCTTCTTTTGATGTTTCCTGCATCATTCAAAATGTTGCCCATAGAATCTTTCAGTATTGCAACTTGAGGCTTGAATTTTTTTCCTCAGTTATTTCTGCTTGAGAAATACCAAGTGTGATCTTTCCTTTTGGTTTTCTAATTCCAGGTCTTTGCACATTTCATTATAATAATTGACTTTGTCTTCTCGAGCTGCTCTTTGAAATCTTCTGTTTGGCTCTCTTATCTTGTCATTTCTTCCACTTGCTTTAACTGTTCTCTGTTCAAGAGTAAGTTTCAGAATCTCTGCTGACATACATTTTGGTCTTTTTTTCCTTTCCTGTCTTTTTAATGACTGTTTACTTTTCTTTGTGTGTGATGTTCCTGATGTCATCCCACCATTCATCTAGTTTTTAGTCATTGGTGTTCAATGAGTCAAATCTGTTCTTCAGATGGTCTCCAAATTCAGGAGGGATATAATCAAGGTCATATTTTGGCTCTCATGGACTTGTTTTAATTGTCTTCAGTTTCAGGTTGAACTTGCATATGAGCAGTTGATGATTTGTTTCAGCTCCTGGCCTTGTTTTGAAAGAACATATTGAGGTTCTCCATCACCTCTTTCCACAGATAGGTTAGTCAATGTAATTCCTGTGTACTCCTTCTGGCAAAGCCCACGTGTATAGCTGTCATTTTTGTTGTTGAAGAAAGGTATTTGCAATGAGTAAATCGTTGGTCTTGCAAAATTTTATCATGTGATCTCCAGCATTATTTCTATCACCAAGGCCATATTTTCCAACTACTGGTGATTCTTTGTTTCCAACTTTTGCATTCCAATCACCAGTGATACTCAACACATCTTGATTGAATCTTTGGTAAGTTTCAGACTGCAGAAGTTTGCAAAAATCTTCAATTTCCTCATCTTTGGCTTTGGTGGTTGGTGCGTAAATTTGAATAATAGTAATATTAACTGGTCTTCCTTGCAGGCATATGGATATTATCCTATCACTGACAGCATTGTACTTCAGAATAGACCTTAAGACATTCTTTGTGATGATGAATGTCATACCATTCCTCTTCAATTTGTCATTCCTGGGATAGTAGATCATATGGTTGTCTGATTCAGAATGACCAAAAGCAGTCTATTTCAGCTCACTAATGCCTAGGATATCAATCTTTATGCATTCCATTTCATTTTTGACAACTTCTAGTTTTCCTAGATTCATACTTCATACATTCCATGTTCCGATTATGAATGGATATTTGCAGCTGTTTCTTCTCATTTTGAGTTGTGTCACATCTGCAAATGGAGGTCCTGAAAGCTTTACTCCATCCATATCATCAAATTTGGCTCTGCTCTGATGAGGCAACTCTTCCCCAGTTGTATTTTGAATGCCTTCCAACCTGAGGGGTTCATCTTCCGGTACTACTTTGGACAGTGTTTCAAGGCAATTCATAACGTTTTCCAGTAATATATCGGACAGTGTTTCACTGCTATTCATAAGGTTTTCATTGGCCAATTCTTTGAGAAGTGCATGGCCTCTTCCTTTTTCCAAGCCTGTCCTAGTCTGGAAGCTTTGCTGAAACCTGTCCACCATGGGTTACCCTGCTGGTATTTGCAGCACTGGTGGCATAGCCTGCAGCCCCATAGCAACACACAAGCCACCATAGGATGACAAACTGACAGAAAAATTTGTCTCCCTTAGTTGTTCCAAACTGCTCCACTCACTTCCTGGCTTCCCTTAAAGCTGCTCCAAACCTCATGCCTGGTTCCCCTTCCTGGCCACCCTTAAAGCTGATCCAAAATCCCTGACGCCTGGCTCTGCTTCTGGGCTGCCCTCTAAAGATGCTGCAAAACCCCCGGTGCCCATCTCTGCTTCCGGGCGACGCTTTAAAACTGCTTCAAGACCCCCAGTAGATACTACTTTTATGCTGCCCCTAGTATTTAGCCTGCCTAATGAGTCGGGGCTGACTCGACGGCAAACAACAACAACTAGTTGTTGTTATGTGCCGTCGAGTCAAACCCGACTCATAGCGACCCCGCCTTGGGTTTCCGAGGCAGTATCACTACGGAAGTAGGATTGCCCAACCTTCCTTCCGAGGAGTGGCTGGTGGGTTTGAACCGCCAGCTGTCTGGCTAGCAGGCAAGTGTCTTAGCCACTATGCTACCAGAGCTCCCACAACAACTAGGGACAGCATAAAAGTATATCCTCATGGGAGGTGTGAGGAAAGTGAAAAAAAGTTGTGGGAGGAAAGAGATTCAGAAGACTGACTCAAACAAAAAAAGTTACCTTCTTTGGGGCCAGTGCTACCAGACAAAATTGTTTAACTTTCTAAGCTATTTGAATTTTCTCCTCCAGAGATTACTCCAGTTCTCTACAGGAATCACATGTGCTTTTGAGTTAATAAGCAAACACCAGTAGAAGGATTATATGAGAAGGTGTTAATTGCTTTCCTAACACCTAACTTTGGTGACCAAAGGGAGTGGGAATTTTGATTGGCAAATATTAGAGGAGAAAGAGTAAGTGAGTTTTAATTTGGGAATTTTTGTTACTAGAATTATTTGGAGCAGGGTCATACATAGGCTTAGCATTGGAATGTATATTATGACTTCAGCCATCCAAAATAGTTCGTATGTTGATATAACTAGCATAGTATTATACTAAGGAAAATAGTTGCTGGGATGGTGGTGGTGTCTGACTTAAAAAAAAAAAAAAAAAAAAAAGTTATCTGTTTGATATAGATGTGCTGTAAATAGGAGGTCAATGATGAAACATTCAAATTTTGCCCAGAGTTGACAGTGTCTTCTCTTTTCCAAATGGTCATTTGGGATATGCTAGCTTGCTAGTTCTGGTGGTGTAGTGAATAAGGCATTTGACTACTAACCAGAAGGTTGGCTGTTCAAACACTCCAGCTGCTCAGTCAGAGCAAGATGAGGCAATCTACTTCTGTAAAGATTCACAGCCTTGGAAACCAACTGGAGGTCACTATGTGTCAGAATCAACTTGAGGGCACTGTTTTTTTTTTTGTTGTTGTTGTTGTTTATATAGGCATTAAAGAGCTCGGGTGGCACAGTGGTTTAAGTACTTGACCACCAACCAAAAGGTCAGTGGTTCAAATCCACCAGCCACTTTGTGGGAGAAAGGTTGGACAGTCTTCTCCCTGTGTAAAGATTGCAGCCTTGGAAACCCTACAAGGGGCAGTTGTGCTCTGTCCTATAGGGTCACTATGAGTCAGAATCTACTCTATGGCAGCGAGTTTGAGGTTTTTTGGATACAACTATTACAAAGAATGAGAGAGCTATATATTTAGTAACATTGGAAAGGAAAGATGCTCAAGTACATTATATAGTGGAAGAAAAAAGAAAGTTATAAAAGCATTATAGTATAAAGAGAACATGTGAGACTACAACAAACAGTTAACATCAGTTTTCTCTGGGTAGAATTGGGTCATCAACTTTATATGTCATGTATTGCTGAATGTTTGAAAATTTATTATTAAAATCTATAATCAGAAAAAATAATTCTTTAAAAAGGAATTTTCACAATTTCTCTTCATAGGTGATTACATGCTTGATGCAAAGCCAAAAGAAATTTCAGAAATTCAACGTTTAAACTATGAGCAGGTAATAAACACAATTTGTTCTATTAATTTGTGGATATATTTATTGATCTTTTATCAGTGATTAGCAGATGCTTTCTGTAAAGAATCAAGTAGTAAGTATTTTAGGCTTTGTGGGCAATATATAGTGCTTATTGCATATTCTTTTTTATAACCCTTTGAAAATGTAAAAACCATTCTTAGTTAACATGCTGGATTTGGCCCCCAAGCAATACTTTGCCAATCCCTGGTCTATATGACATGCTATGTAGAAAGATCATAGATATCTTTCTATAAATCTATGTGGAATGATAACCTGGTATTTTTCTTAAAATATTGACTCAACTGAAGTTGTCATTGAATCGTCTTTCTTCCTTTTATTTATATTTTATAATTATATTTAGGAAAAAGTTGAACAAATGATGTCTAATATGTTATTAGGATAAATTCTTTTGTTTCCTAGTTTCAATTTGCCCTCATATTTTGTAATGTTCTTTTAGAGAACTTGTTCTTTAATATGGGAAGTGTCAATGGGCTTACAAAATTTATTGGAAATAGAAGAAAGAGCAGAACTTAATTTTCTTTGCCTTGGCAATCGAAGGCAAGAAGTAATCAGTTTCTTGCAGTGGAAAGACATATTATCCAGGAAAGAAATAGACATCATTGTATCCTTCATATTTACTTTCAAAGTAACTCTTTGTCCATACTTTCAACAACATCAAATTGGCAAAAGGGAAGCAAAAGTCATGTCAGTATTGCAAAATTTCTTGAGTTTGAATGTTCAAATAATCAATTGGTAAAAGAGGAGCTCTGGTAGCATAGTGCCTAAAGGCACTTGACTGCTAACCAGAAGGCTGGTGATTCAAACCCACCAGCCACTCCTCGGAAGGAAGATGGGGCAATCTACTTCCAGAAAGAAACCCAAGGAGGGGTCGCTATGAGTCGGGTCTGACTCGACGGCACATAACAACAACAACAATAGAATTGAAAAGCCAGTATATCACATGCTTCATTTGTAAAAGTTAGGAAATCTAAAGCTAAAGCCAAGTTCCTAGGCTGAATTTATTTAAATTTTATTGGGTGAATTTATAGCTTAGAGCATGATATTCATACATTTTTAGGGATGGAAAGCTCTTTTCAAATAAAATCTTATGTGAAACTCCAATGTATAAAACCAGTAGATGATATTTTATAAGTATAAAGTGACAAGATTCAATTTACATAATTTATTTATCAATCTTATTTAATTTCTTATTTCCATCAATGAACCTATGTTGATTAATACAAAAATTTGAATTTGAGGATTATAGATGATATTCGTAAGTTCACATCAACCTCAGGATTTATTTATGAGAACAATGTTCAAGCTTAAATTCTAGGGAGACCAATGTGAAGCTGCAATTTTCCTAATTAAAACCACTTCACCAGAAGTTGTAATGTAAACAAAGAGTATATTTTCCCAGTTTATCTAATGATAGATGCCCTGACACCCAAGAAAATACAGTATGCTTGTATTTATGACAAGTTTTTTAATTACTGCAGATATATTTTTAAAATATGTTTTGTATTTAAATTTGAAATATTTCACCATGTTAGAAGCACCTTTCAGAAGAATTCTAAGAAACAGTTTAAGTACTGGCTTAGAGAAACTTGTTATTTTCTGTATTCTTGAACTTTGCTATCAGTGCTGGTGTGAGATGTTACCTCGTTATTTTGATTTGCATCTCTCTAATGGCTAAAGATCGTGAACACTTCTTCATGTGTTTGTTAGCAGCCTGAATATCTTCTTTGGTGAAGTATCTGTTCATGTCTTCTGCCCATTTTTTAATTCTATTATTTGTCTAATTTGCTGTTGAGGTGTTGGAGGTTTTTTTTAATAAGTTTTAGAGGTAAGTCCCTTGTTAGATATGTTTTTTCCCATATCCGTAGGTTATCTTTTTACTCTTTTGGAGAAGTCTTTTTATGTATATAAAAATTTAATTTTTAGAAGTCCCAATCATTTAATTTATCTTCTGCTGTTTGTGCATTTTGAGTTATGCTTGATGGTCTATTTATGCCATAAATTAGGGCCCCTAAGTTTGCCCCAGAGGGAGCTCTGGTGGTACAGTGCCTAAGGTATTTGATTGCTGACCAAAAAGTTGGTGGTTCAAACCCACCAACCACTCCACAGAAGGAAGATGGGGCTAGCTACTTCTGTAAAGATTTACCTCCTCAGAAACCCAGTGGTAGTCACTATGAGTCCGAATCGACTCGATGGCTGTGAGGTTGGTTTTAAGTTTGCCCCTATTTTTTCTTTGATAAACTTTGTAGTGTTAATTTTCACATTTAAGTCTTTGATCCATCTTGATTTAGTTTTTATATGTGATGTGAGGTGTGGATCTTGTTTCATTTTTCTGCAAATGCATGTCCAGTTTTGCTAGCACCATAGCATTTCTTCCCTATTTAATGGATTTCAGCCCTTTGTCAAATATCAGCTGATCATAGGTTGATGGATCTATTTCTGGGTTCTCAGTTCGGTTCCACTAGTCTGTGTGTCTATTGTATCAGTACCAGGCAGTTTTGACTACTGTGGCTGTGTAGTAGATTTTGAGATCCAGGAGTGTGAGACCTCGTACTTTGTTCATCATTCATCAATAGTGCTTTGCTTATCTGAGGTCTCTTTCCTTTCCATATAAAATTTATTTTACAGGTTTTTCTGTATCCTTGAAGAATGTTGGTAGACTCTGGATTGGAATTGCATTTAATGTATATTTTGCTTTGCGTAGTATTGGTATTTTCAATTGTCCTATCCACGAGCATAGTATATTCTTCCATTTATGTAGATCCCTCATGGTTTCTTGAAGCAGTGTTTTGTAGTTTTCTTTGTACAGGCCTTTTGTGTCCCTGGTAAGATTTATTCCCAAGTATTTTATCTCTCTGATAGCTGTTGTAAATGATATTGATTTCCTTATTTCCTTCTCAGCAATTTCTTTGCTAGTATAGGGGAATCCAACTGATTTTTTGTATGTTGATCTTGTAACCTACCACTATGCTAAATCTTTCACTTAGTTACAGTAGTTTCCTTGCTGAGTCTCTTGGGTTTTGTATATATAGGATCATACCATCTGCTAATAGGGATAGTTTTACTTCTTCCTTACCAGATTGGATGCCTTTTATTTCCCTTTCTTGCCTTATTGCCCTGGCTAGGACTTCCAATACAGTGTTGAATGGAAGTGGTTATAGAGGGCATCCTTGTCTGGTTCCTGTCCGTAAGGGGAATGGTCTCAGTCTCTCTGCATAGAGAATAATTTTGTCTATTGGTTTTGTATATATGCCATATATTATGTTGAGGAACTGTTTTTCTGATAGTGTTTATCAGGAATGGGTGTTAGATTTTTATCAAATGCCTTTTCTGCATCATTGATATATACACATAGTTCTTTTCCTTTATTTTACTTATATGATGAATTACATTGATTCTTTTTCTAATGTTGAACCATCCTTGCATACCTGGTATGAATACCACTTGGTGATGATGTAGTATTTTTTTGATTTGTTGTTAAAGTCTGTTGGCTAGGATTTTGTTGAACATTTTTGCATCTGTAGTCATGAGGCATATTGGTCTGTAATTTTCCTTTTTAGTGATGTCTTTGCCTGGTTTTGGTATCAAAGTTATACTTGCTTCATAAAATGAATTTGGGAGAACTCCATCCTTTTCTGTGTTCTGGAATAGTTTGAGTAGGATTGATGTCAGTTCTCTGAACGTTTAGTAGAACTCTCCAGTGAAACCATCTGGACCAGGACTTATTTTTATTGGGAATTTTTTATGACCCATTCTTCTTTTGTTATGGGTCTGTTTAAATTTTCCACCTCAGTCTGTGTTAGATTAGATAAGTAGTATATTTTCTAGAAATCTGTCTATTTCTTCTAGGTTTTCAAATTTGTTGGAGCCCAGTTCTTCATAGTATCCTGGTATTATCCCTTTTATTCTGATTGTTTCTGTTGGGATGTCACCCATTTCATTTCTTATTTGTGTAATTTGTGTCTGCTCCCTCCTTTCCTTTGTTAAGTTTGCCAGTGGTTTGTCAACTTTTTTAATCTTTTCCACGAAGCAACTTCTACTCGTGTTGATATTTTCTGTTTTCTTTGTATTTTGTGTCTCATTTATTTCTGCTCCAATCTTTATTATTTCCTGTCTTCTTATGACTGACTATAGACTTTTTTGCTGCTCTTTTTCCAGTTGTTGGTGATGTTGGGGTAAGGTGTTGATTTTGTCTCTTTCTTTTTTGATGTGTGCATGCTACTCAAAACTCGCTGCTGTCAAGTTGGATTCAACTCATAGCGACCCCTCCTTGGGTTTCCAAGGTGGTATCACTATGGAAGTAGATTGCCCAGCCTTCCTTATGAGGAGTGGCTGGTGGGTTCAAACCACTGGCCTTCTGGTTAGGAGTCAAATACCTTAGATACTATGCTACCAGATGTGTGCATATATTACTATAAATTGCCCTCTGATCACTGCTTTTGCTGTGTCCCAGAGATTTTGACATGTGTTTTTGTTCTTGTTTGATTCAAGGAACTTTTTCATTTCCTTTTTTTTTTTTTTTTAATTTCTTCTGTTACTCAGTATTTTTTATGAAGGTTGTTATTGAGTTTCCATGTCTTTGCTCTTTTTCCACTGATCTTCCTAGTATTGATATCTAATTTTTATAGCATTGTGATCTGAGAATATGCTTTGCAGTATTTTGGTGTTTTTATCTATCTGTTTATCTATCTATCTACCTATCTATCTATCCAGTGTTTTCCTCCCCTCCTCTCCCACCCCTGGTAGTTTCAATATTTTTAAATTTATTGAGGTTTGCTTTGTGGTCTGTCCTGGAGAGTGTTTCATGTGTGCTGGAAATGAATGTATTGTGCTGTTATGAGGTGAGTGCTCTGTATATGTATATAAGGTCAAGTTGGTTGATTGTATTGTTTAGTTCTTCCTTGTCTTTGTTGAGTTTCTTTCCAGTTCAATCTTTTACTGAATGTGGTGTATTAAAGTCTCCT